TCCCCTCAGCTTAATCATTCCTCCTCCCCACTTACTCAGTAAGGTGGGATTGAATGATAAAGGATTGTGAGGGTGAGGACTGTGATACTCCCAGAATAAAGTAAATAGGAGACTTAGTTTTGGAAGGAAGAGGACTTGTTTGGGTTTGGCTGGGCTGAGGCTGAGGTATAGCCTTTTGGACAAATGGGCTCAGAGTGCAGCCGAGATGACCAATTTGATGTGCAGGTTTGGGGGTCAGCACAGTAGACAGATGGGAAGTGAAGTCATCAGGAAGGCTGTCAGCAGGAAGGACGTTATCTCAGAGAGGATGCTTGGGGTGAAAGGAGGGGGCCAGAGGGAAGGCATGAAGAGCTCCCGGAGAACAGAAGGCAGGAAAAGACCGAGTGAAAACTACCAGGGAGGGCATGGGAGAAAAGCCAGGGCTGAATGACCCGGATCCCAGGAAAGAGAGTCTTAATAAGGAGGCGGGGATGCCGACTGTAGTACATCTGGACTGAAGGTGTCCGACAGTAGAGAGGTGGAGGGGTGCCCCAGGAGAGTTGCCTGCGTCTTGAACCAGAGGCCTCAATAGTGGAGGGTCCCTCGGCTGGGTTACCTGCCTCTCCCTTCTCTCAGTGTGTCTCTAGTGGGCCCACGCTCCTCTCTCCCAGCTACTCTCTCATCCCAGCCTCACCCCAGCTTCCACAGTCCAGACCGGACACTCTCTTCCACCCCAGGTGCTCCTCCCTGGCTCCTCCCCGAATCGTCAGCCACTCTCTTTGGTCCCCAGCTCTTCCCCAGGTCTGATCTCCAGCTCTTTTCCCAGCTCCCGCAGCTGCGCGCAGGAATCCCACCTCCTTCCTTCCTGCCAGCGGTTGTCCGCGGTCCCTGCCCACAGCCCCGTCCCCATTCGCCTGCGCTGGCCCACGCCCCATGAGGTACATTGCTATTGGCTGAGTCCTTTATGGGGCTCCGCCCCCTAGGCATTCACTTCTGCGATTGGGGCAGGTAGCCGTCTGTCAGCGCCGTCGCCTGGCAACGGGATTGAGCCGTTCCGGGTTGGTGGTGGGAAATCTGTGGACCGCGACTGGAAAGGCAGGTCAGGTCAGCGCTGGGGTGGAGGGCGAGGGCACCGGTGGGGTAGCGGGGAGGTCACTGGCCCGGGGGCTCTGGAAGGAGCAGCCCGGCTAGGGTAGGGATAGGGGCAATGGTCTTGGTCCCTGGAACGGACCTGGGCCCTGCCCCTCCCTGGCTGCCCGAGATTCTGTGCCCCTTGGGGTTTGGAGTGGTGGGATAGCTCTGAGGAAGGGAGGGAAAGAGGGTCAGTTGGCACAGAAGCACTCCTCACTTTCTGCCTTTCGTGTGGTTGAGATCAGAGGGTTCCTGCAGGTGTGTTCCCTAGGGTCTCCAGGGTGGAGGCCAGCTGTCGAGAAGGGGCAGAGAGTGAATGGACGCCGGAAGAACTGGGGAGCATCTGACGGAGGAGGCGAGGCAGGGGTTGTCCTGGAGTGTGTAGTGGGGTGGGTTACCTTCCTTCTTGTCTTCTGACCGCATGCTGCTCTCTGTCCCAGGAGAGTGGAGCTGATGGCTAAATTTAGGGGAGAGGAGAAGAAAGCACTCCCAGGTCAATACCCTGCAGATCAGCCAGCGGGGCCTCTGGAGGGAGGGAAGCCAACCTTGGGCAGGAGGACCAGTCACCTTCTGGCCTGCAGAACTCTGTGCATTGTGGGGCTGGCCCAGGCTCAAACTGACCCTTCACATAAGGGCTGCTGGTTCTGGGATGTAAACAGAGCTTGAACCAGATAAGGTGGCTGGAGGCTTCCCAGGAAGTGGGTACTGAGGGCCATGTGACTGCTCCCAGGACAGTGGCCCCTTGGAGATAGGGAGTCTGGGATGTCCTTGGAGGACAGGAGCCATCAGAGATGCTTTGAGAGAGTTGGCTGAGCTGTCCTAGGATGCCAGCAGAAACTGTGGCCCATTCTGCAGAAAAATGGCTCCTGGCTCCCTTCCCAGCACTGAGGGGGTTTGTTCCTTCCAAGCTGAGCTGTTTCCGTTGTTGGAAGTCGAGAACTCGACCTTCTGTTGCCTTGGGCTCATCTCTCTCTCCTTCTCTGACCTCTAGAAAGCAGAATTAAATGTTCTGTTCCCTCATTTAATCCTTTCCACCTCGTTACAGGGCTGGTGGCCCTTTCCCAATTTTACTAAGTTTCGAAGAGACTTAGTAATTTGTCCCTGGTCATAACATCAACCAATGGCAGAACTTGAACTTGGATCTGCTCATCATGGCTTATACTGTAACTTCAGAGCCTGGGGGCTTCCGTGTGGGAGGCAGGCACTCTGATTATTAGTGCATTTCACTGCCCACCCTCCCGCTCTGACCCACAGCCCCACATCTTTGGAAGCTCATTTCTCATTCCCAGCCTTACTGACATTTGGGCCAGGTACTTCTTTGTTGCAGGGGGCTGTCCTGTGCATTGCAGAGTATTTAGCAGTACCCCTGGTTTCTATCCACTAGAAGCCAGCAGCACCCTCTCTCTGGTTGTGACAGCCACACATCATTGCCAAATGTCCCCTGGGGGACAAAACTGTCCCCAGTTGAACCAAGATAAGCAGTCTGAAAGGAACATCGAGGTGTGTTCTTCTGAAAGAGGACTTGATAGATGCAAACCTGCGGAAGACTCAGACCAGTGCTGGGTTGTTTTATACACAACTTGCCAGGAAAAAAAAGTTTATCCTGCATATGGAGGTGCATCCAGTACAGTCCGTGAGGAAACCATTGCCAGGAATTGAAAGAAAGTTCAGGAATGTGCTTTTGGAGAGAAGTAGGAATGCATCATTGGAGGCCTTCGTTTCCTCCCCACAGTTGGTTACAGAGATTTCTGTCCTGATTAAAGTGAGTCTAGGCTGGAGGAACTTGGAAACGCTGTATTGCTGCCAGTGCTTCCCTCTGCCTTGCGTGGGGTGCTTTAACAGGAAGTGGGGCATCTTTGGAGCTGTTTGGAGATGCTCACCTGTGCCCTGTGGGGGTGCAGGGTTGTGTTCTTAGAGGCTGTGCATCCTCCCACCTGTCGTGGACTCCAGTCCTGTGGCTCCTGCTTACGGCTGCGACATCCCGTTCTCCCTTCTCCTTGAAAGAAAAACTGGTGTTTCCAGCTGCCTGGCTGCCCTGCTTCCAGGCCTTTCCCTGATGTCTCCTCCCGATGTTGTCCTGTGCCCACTGCATGCCAATGGTCTGCACCTCTGGCTCTCCCTGTTAGCATCTTTCCTAGCCCCCGTTGTTTTTCATGGGCGTCTGAGCCCCGCGGAGGCCTGGCCAGGCTACTGTTTTCAGACAACAGCGGAGGAGCCTGTTTCTGGTGGGACGGGGTGGGGGTTGGGGAGGGCTGGAAGTGAGGGGCTGGGTGGAGGCAGACGAGTGCCCCCTTGCTCTGTAGCCTGCCTCCGGTACCCTCCCCACATCAGACCTTGCCAGGATGTGGGATGATGCTCCTTTCACCCTGTGCCTTTGTGTGCACTGTCTGACTTCCCAGGTGAACTGCCTGTGGGCACCCACAGGCACCCAGCTGGAACCTGTCCCTTGGATGTTTTCTACTCTCAACCTCTGTTCTCTCTTCGCCCCAGGCCTGTTAATCCCCCGAGTTCTTGTTGGATGGGACGCCCCTGAAGCTTCTTTGTATGCCTGCCCTCTGCCAGGCATTATCTGGCCCAGGAGATGCTGTGTTACCTGTTGGAAGGAATTAGATGCCTGTGAGGATGTCAGGAAGGCCAATGTCCTGGAGGGGCTGAACCCGTGACCTCTGAGTGACAGAAACCCTTGGCTGCGCTGATTCCTCAATTGTTTGACATCTGGGAACTTCTGAGGAGGGCCATTTAAGTGTTGGCAGCCTTTTAACTCCAGAGTGCCCCTGAAAGAGGCTGGTATCCCCTTGGTAGAGAGACTTCTTGGTTTTGAGAGAGAAGGAAGCCTTCTCAGGATTTGCGGAATTTGAGGGGTGGCATTTAGATCGCTTCACCGTTAGAGAGGTGGAGGTGGCATTGGCTGGAGACCCTGTCCTTGCTGTCAGGTGCCTTCTGGGCTTTTTCCTTCTGGGGGGCCCTTGGAAGCCCGCCTGGATGGGTATGGCTGTCAGCTGGCCTCAAGAGTCCAGCTTTGATGTGAAGCTGTGCCAATGTCTCAAAAACCTTTCCCTCCAGGTGTCGGGAGGCCACTATCTCTTCCAGTGTTAGGTGAGTCACAGGGTTTCTCATGTCACAAACTTTCAGGTGTTCTATGAGAAGTAAAATGTGTGATTGTCTTTGTTAGAAAGACCTGGAGAGTGAAATAGAATTCACTAGGGAGCATCGTCATACGCTGACATTTTCAGGATTTCAGCAGAAACGAGAGGGGTGCAGGGAGTGTTGTGTGATAAGTGTTTTGGTGACTTGATATGTTAACACAGATTTTGAGAGAATCTCAAACCTCCCTGGTTGGGGAGGGTATGAATCTAACCATACTTTTGACTAAAGCTGTCATGATTTACTGGTAACATAAATAAAGCTGGGATGGAACCAAGCAAAAGCAAAACCACTCTTCGTAGATGGATCGGGTCGCTAGCCAGGGTCCCAGGGTAACCCACAGCCCCTTTCCTGGTCAGTAGAGCAGTGGAGCGTCCCTCCTGATTATTACCCTACCCCCTCTGTTCCTCCCGCATCCTTGATGAAAAAGTATTGTCCAGTGCCCCCTCCACGCCAATCGTCAATGACTGAATGGACCCAGTCACTGACTGAATCCTCCCTTCTTTGAGCCTTCCAAGAAGACAACCCCACTCCACACTCTCACCCAGGTCCCCCCACTTCCTCGCCACAGCTGACTGGAAATACAGCCTGACTACAGCCTCATCCTTAGCCAGTGGGCATTGACCTACTTGCTAGTGTGATTTCTCCTGGGCGTTGCCTTCAGACACTTAATACTTACAGCACAGGTTTGCAATAGGTAGAATATATTAAATTCATGGCAGAATTGATGATGTTCATACCTTCTTTCTGTCTTTGTTTGGCACTCTTTCCTGCTCCTTCCAGAACTGATGAGTATTTAGAAGTCAAACGACAATGGCACATCTCATCAAGTCACAAGTGTTGACTTGTGACAGGTTGTTTCTTGGGACTCTCAGAAGAGTTGATGGAGAGGATGGATCTGCCTTGGCATAGCTGCTTGAGCTGTACCTGCTGCAGGGGACCAGGCACCAGCTGGTGCCACACCCTGTATCTTAGAGATGAGGAAGGCTTCAATTAGGCTGGACCTTGAGCCCAAGGCTAGAGGTTTTCCTTCTTGACTCTTAATGCAGGTGAGAAACTTGAGAAGTGGAAGCATTTAGATCAGATGGCCCCTGAATGGCAGCCCCAAACGAGGTTGCGTAAGCCTCCATCTTCAGCCCACCTTTATAAGGGCAATACAGCCCCTCTCCAAGGAGCCTTCAGCTGGAGGCTTCCTGTTCAGTGCAGAGAGGCCCCCAGCCAGAATGGCTCCGATTAAAAAAAAAAAAAGATGGAAACATAACAGGAGTGTTGGAGAGGATGTGGAGAAATTGGAACGCTCATGCTTTGCTGCTGGGAATGTAAAATGGAAAATAGTTTGGCAATTCCTCAAAAATCAAACATCAGGTTATATGACCCAGAAATTCCATTCCTAGGTATATCCCCCTCAAATTTGAAAGCAGGGACTCAAACAAGTACATGGACATGTATGTACACAGCAGCACTATTCACAACACCCAAAAGAAACAGCCCAGATGTCCATCAACAGGTGAATGGATAAACCAACCATGGTATCTTCACACACTGGAATATTAGTCAGTCATTAAAAGAATGATGTATTGATCATGCTTATAGTATGAATG